GGTCCGGTAAGCCTCTAGACGATCAACTTGGAATACCTATTTTTCTTGCACATTTATTTATTATGTATTTCAGCCTCTAGACGATCAACTTGGAATACCTATTTTTCTTGCACATTTATTTATTATGTATTTTCTGCTCAAGTTAACATGACATACTTTTTTATTTTATTTATTATTTAATCAATCGGAACCAAATTTAATATCAACAATGATAATGCAATCTTAATTAATGACTACAATGTAAAGTAAATCATGATTCTTCCACAATCTTTTTTTTTTCATGTTGGAAATAAATAATATCGAATAATATTATTACCAATTACAAATTATCTAATTACTTAATCCTAAACCACACGACTAATCACTAAATCCATTATTTCTCCACGATTGCGTGCAAGTCTCAATTACCATATGGCACCAAAATCTTTTCATGACTATTGACTAGTGAGCTAGAAAAGTTCTAATGGGGCACTCTTGCAACTAATTAAAACATGTTTTCACATTACAGCTAATAATATGAATTTATTAATTAACTAGGCAAAATAGCATGCTATAATTAATAAATTGAATTATTAATTAATGTATGTATATTTATTTCATCTGGAAACTAAAATAATAAACAGTAATGCTCCTATACCCACGGTTGACACATATTAATATGTCCACCGCTTATGTGGAATACACATTGATGATATTAATATGTTCAAAGTTCCACATGAGCGGTGGACATATTGCCATGTGCCCACCGGTAGGGGACCATGATTGGTAAAATAAAGGGAAATTTTTTTTTCACCCCAATACAAAGATACATCAAGTTTTTCACACCGTCAAATAAAAAATTAAGTTTTTCACCCCAGAAAGTCGAAGGATGTGCGAAAAATGTCGCATATTTATTGCATAACTGTCATATATGCGAAGGTTATGCGAAAAACTGTCGCATAACTGTCGCATATTTATTGCGCAATGCCTTCGCACTTTAATTTTTTTCACCCCAAAAAGTGCGAACATATATCGAATGTCTTCGCACTTTTAACTTTCGCACAATGTCATCGCGCAATTGTCGTATATTCTTTTTTTTTTTTTTTCCAAACATCAAATATGATTAAACCATAAACTCAAAAATGTACATAGGGAGCAACCAACAAGTTGCACTTGCCCCAACCAAGACAATCTAAGTTGAAAAATGCAAGAGGGGGATCAAACAATCAGACCCCCTATGAGACCAACACGGTCCTAAAACAAAAGCAAAAACAATTGTCGTATATTCATCGCATAATGCCTTTCACATTTTCTGGAATAAAAAACTTAGTTTTTTATTAGACGGTGTGAAAAACCTAACAAGACGTCAAAACAGGGTGAAAATAACTATTTTCACTAAAATAAATTGGGTGAGTGGGATTTCTTGAGACTTTCACTTGTGTACAAAAAAACTGCAGCAGAATGAAACGTCTTGTTAATTGAATAAATCACTTCAATCTATTTATTTATTTATTTATTTATTTTTTCTTGTGAAACTTCATTTTGGATTACATATTATTATTATTATTATTATTGGGCTTTTGTTTGTAGTGTGGTGTGCAGTGCCCCTCTGGAAAGCGATGGGCCTGTGATTGGAAGCCTTTGGGTCTACTCTACAAATAGGCCTTGACAGTCGCCAGATGGGGCCCCAACTTTGATGGCAGCACCTTAATCGACGTCCGATGTGACTTTTAATCCAACGGCCCTCAGCTCGCTATAAAATTTTGCCCGCAATATTAGCAACAAAAGAACACCGCCAAAAGCGACTCTGAAAAAATATATATATATATATATTTTTCTTTCTGTGTGTGACTATTCATGAGATTGAGGAGCAGTAATCTGCTGTGGCAGCACTAGACAATTGCCTTCTTTTTTTTTTCTATTAAATTAAATAAATTTGGTGCTCCTATTATTTGTACATGTGTTGACTATGTAACATAATGAAACTGTGTATTTTGACCCCAAAATATCACATAAAAACAATCTATCTTGTCCAAAGTTTTGGTTAGTTTGGTGCTATTAAATAAAACGAGCTGATTGTTAGTGTAGTACATTTGACTTGTTTTTATAAATGAGTTTGGTTTCGAGCTTATTTAAGACTTGTTTTGTGGGTAGTGCTCGTTAGATTGATAAATTCATATATATATTTTTTTTTTGAATTTTTATTATATATCATCACATTAATGAATCAAGATTGAGTTTGTATATCAGCTCCTTAACTTATTAAGCATAATTTGACTAGACTTGATAAGAATTCGAGCATGAGCTCGAGCCACTACAAGAAAATAGAGTTCTAGTGAAGAATTTTGTTGTCACTGTGTTGTCGCTATATCTACTGTCACTATATCTACAATTATTGTCACTATATCTACAACAATTGTAGATATAGTGACAATAATTATAAATATAGTGACAACAACTGTAGATATACTGACATTAGATATAGTGACAACAATCGTAGATATAGTGACAAAAAAATTCTTCACTAGAACTCTATTTTTTTGTAGTGAGCAGTCTGAACTCGAATATACAAAAATAATACTCAATACAATTCTACTCGTTGTATTTTATGGGTCATGAAAGATGATGTATTCATATTAACTTCAAAGTTCAAACAAACATCCACGAACAAAACTACATTCAAATTCAAGATGTTAAAAATAGGGATGTTATTCGAATCGAGCATAACTGAATCGAGTAGTTCGTGCTCGAGTTCCTGCTCGTTTCCAAATTAAAATTTTGGTTAAAGCTCGACTCGTTTAGCAAGTCCCAACAATTACAAATGAATTATTCACGAACATCATGATCCGTAAACATGTTGTATGTGACTTTTTATTCGACTTGTTTAATAAAATAAAATAATTCTTTCATTGTCCTCAACTCGTTCAATCAAAACTAATTGTAGGCCAAAGCAATAATGCAATGGAAAAGGTTGTTAGGCATTGATTGGCTGGAAAAGCAAACACAGTCGAAACTGAGAAAAAGGTGAACTGAAAAAAATCCCAGTCACCTGCCCGACGTAAAATTCGGGGGATT